ATGCAACTAGACTCGATAAGGCTTAAAAAGGTCCCCAAGCCTTCAGACCTAAGGGAATGGGTCATCAATCCCAAAACCCTCGGTCGGTGGCTCGAACGATCCCCTAGGTATTGCTATGGGCGCAGAGCACACCATCCACATACTTAGAGAAACCATTCCTAGTCCTACAAGGCGGTGTGGGAAAGAGCCCACGAAAATAAAATAAAATGGATTAACAGTAAATAAACGTGCACGTATGAAGTGTTCCCTATTTTGAGGGAAAGGATTGAGACCCAACGCGAGGCTCTAAAGGCGACACACCCCCCCAAATGCAATGCAAAGTGCGAGATAAAACAAGTAAAACATACATCCAAACAACCAATCATACATACGTGAGTGAGGGAGTAGTTTGATACGCGCGCGAGGCAAAAGGTCCTAAAAATGGAAAATACAACCATAATATCCAAATGCTACGCATAACAGGGGTAGAAAACGAAAAAGAATGGCTAAATCAAATGTTTGGACCCACTTAGGAGGTCCCCAGTGGAGTCGCCAAACTGTCGCGCCCCACTTTTCGATGGTGTGAAAGTAGTGTGTAGGATATGTATGTGAACGTGTGTGAAAGTGAAAATAAAAGGCCGTGGGATTGTGAAATGCGACGGTTTGGCCAAACAAATGGTTTTAGATAGAAAAGGAGTTGCCACTTGGTATAGAGTTAGGGTGTACCAAGTCACCCAAAAAGTGATTTTTTGGAAAAGAAAAGTAAACAAACCCTCTGTAAAGAATTTTTAGGTCTACGTAACCAAAGAAAGGGATCAGGGGTCACATTTGATAAGGGAGAAGACAAAGGCAAAGTCTAAGGCACTCCCTTACCCTTGCCAAAGCTAGTTGCGTGACTTAGCCCTTCTTTTCCTAATTCTTCTACCCAAAGTATGTGTTGCATGTTGGATATGACTAATGGATGCGAAAAAAGAAAAATGCAATCCTAAATCTAAAATGTCTCTTATGAGGCTTTTTGGTCCCAATCACATGAGTTGTGACGGCTAGTAAGGAAAACTCTCATAGATGTCACGGGTAATGCAAATGAAGACCCAAATATGAGTGCAAGTGTGAAAATGCAAGAAAAATGCAAAAATAAAATAAATACAAATGTAAGTGCAAGTGTGCAAATGTAAGAAAAGTGCATGTGTGCAAATAAGAGAAAAGTGCATGTGTGCCATTTGAGAAAATAAAGGTGTTTGTGTGCAAGTGTATGAAAATATGGTATAATAGTAGTAAATGCATAAGTGCAATTGGGTGCAATTTGTGAGGTAGAAAAATAAATAAGTGATAGGGAAAGAAGAGAAATGTGTGAACATGGCATGTGGATTGAGAAAAAATATAAGTAGTGAGAGAATGTGGATGAAGAAAGTGAGGAAATGATATGATAAAAATGAGAGTGTATGAACCTAAAGGAATGCATCAAGTCGGGTACGGGAATGACTCCTAACTTTGTGATTTTAATTTTCCCTTTGATAGAGGGAATACAAGCGTGCTAAGGCTTAGAAAAGCCACACTCATCTATATCCCATATTTAAGGGGTACTCTCAAGCAAATGTACCCTATAACTAACATGAGAATGCAAAAACCTAAGATGAAGGGGAAAGGATTGGAGGGGCATGTCAAATGTTAGAAAACTAAGAAAAATGCATGAAATGTAGTGAGACATACAAAAAATGCACTAGCGAGAGGGACAGGTTTAATGGGTCTAGCATTGGACTAGCCATTCACTAAAATTCTCTCACAAGCATTGGACTTGCGAGAGCTCGAGGGGAAAAACCATGACCAGCGTTGGACTAGCCACGGTGACGCGCGTTGGCATCCATCGTACAAATATATAAGTAATGTGCATAATTAAAGCAAGTAGACATGTGAGCACGTAATTCACATAACATATAAGCATGCATATTTAGATGCCAGGCCCTAAGAAAGCAAGTAACACGTAGCACGTAAGCATGCAAGTCACATAGGGCAAATAAAGCAAAGAAAACCCTATCTATTACATTAGGGGAGTCCTACTACAATCTAAAAAGGGGAAATAAATAATAATTAAAATAAATACCTAACTATTACAAATTTGGCATTCAAGTGCCTTTCAAATGATAGATATACAAAGCTAAAGACAATAAAGCAAATGAAATAAATAAATAAACATCCAAGGGGCATGCAATTAAACACGTAAAGTCACATAGGACACGTAGGGTCAAATAAAGTAAGAAATAAGGGATAGGGTGTACCTCCCTTAATTTGGAGCCCCAATGGTGTGAAATTACTTATTTACCCTCCAAAATACAAAGAAAAGGTCAAGGCATCACTTTAATTAACAAATAATCAAAAAAGATAAAAGTGAATTGTGAAATTGAATCAATTAAATCATATAAACAACCTACATTTAAGAAGTCAAAAGAGGAAAGGACTTGATTGCAAAAATTAACAAAGTTCTGGGGTCTAAAATAAAAGAAAAATAAAGTTTAGGGACCTATTTGCAATTAAACCTGGGACTCAATTGAAGGAAAACACAAGTTGTTAGGGCCATAGTGACAACACTCGAAAGTCAGGAGGCTGGAATGAAATTTTGTCATTAGGCTCCTTGGCAAAACAGGCCATTGGGCCATTTTATTTGTTTGTTTGGGCCAACACCTCCCCTAGCCCAATCGAAACCCAAGCAAAACAAACGGGCTAGCCTATCTGAAGCCCAGGCAAAATCCAACCACAAAATATATGAGCTTTAACCCTTAGCCTATGCCAATAACCCAGAAAAATAAGTCATTAATCCACTTATCAAACCCAAACAATAAATCCAGACCAAACCTAATTTTATTTAATAAAACCCAACAAAATAAAAACCCAACTAAAACTGGCTAACCTCTGATTATGCATCAAATCACAACATTAAACTATCCAAAAACCACATCAACTTGGATCAAAGAAGAAAAACACCTAAAGGGACAAAATTGATTAAATTATCTAATTCTCTGTCCAAAACAGAACAAAGGGCAGCTTGAGGGGTTTAAATGCAACAAAAGCAGGGACTCAATTGAATGAACTATAGCAGTTTGGGGGGTAAAATTATGAAGTTCGGCAACCCTCAAGTAAATTGCAAAACAACGCGAAAACAAAGGGACTGAAATTGACATTTTAGACCAACGGTCTTCTCCCTCAAAAGCACAGACATCAATCCGCCATTTCTGTCGTTCTTAGAACCAGAACAATACCAAAATTCTAGCCCTTCTCAATCAAAAATGAAAATCACCCAAAACTTTTCTCATACAAGATCACGACATTAATTTGAATTCATACAACCAGAAACATAAGAAGAGAAAACAACAACAAATGGTACACAGAACAAGCACGCTAGAGCCACTCGAAACTCCGTTTTTTACCTGAATTCATACTCGTTTTTCTTCAAGCCAAACGCAAACAAGTCGCCTTTCACAGATGATATTTGGTTGGGCATTTTATCGAACAATAGGTGGGCAAAAGAAAATTAACCAATTCTTACTTAATTGAAACCGTATCAGCCCCAAAATTGTTCAATCAACAACAGATTTTAGTCCAATTAAACCATAAAGCATGTACGATTAAAAATTGTAGACAATCCAGCAGGAAAATTGCAGTCACCAAAATTCACAAGAGACATGTTTGGGATTTCAGCATCTGCGCTTGACGAAGAAAAGAAAAAAAAACGATATTCAAAGGCAAAGAGAGGGCTCACAGTGCTCTCGCTTCGCAAAGATCTGCAGGCGAGGACGGTGGATTCTGGTGGTGGTAATGGCGGCTCCGGTCGCGGCCTTCCCTTCTTGCTTCCGACCCGAAGCTCTTCTGAATGGCCTGCTTGTGGCTTCGTTATGGAGATTGAGGAGAGGGACCGTGGGGCTTTTGGGAGGCGGATTGGGCTTCCTTCCATTTCTGTGAAGCTTTGATAGCTGCAACCAACTCTTTCCCTGGAAGTCATGGTGGCCACAGAGGTGGCAGAGGTGGAGAATGGGGTGGCGCCATGGAGAGATGGTGGTTGGATGGGCCACTCCGTTGTTTTATGGTTCAGAACCTCCAAAATCTCTCAGTTTTCTCCTTTCTTGTTCGTCGCCCTCTCGATTCCCTTTTTCTCTCAATTTTTGTCTTGCTCAGCCGCAACTCCTCCCACTCAGTCCGTCTCTCGGTTCTCTCTCACTCCAGTCTTAGCCGCCGCCAATTTTCTTTTCACTCGGCTCTCAAACCTCGTGGCCCTCCACCCTCTCGGTCTCTTCCCTTTTAGGTTCTTCTAGCTCGCCCCTATTTTTCGTCCGCCCAATTTCCAGATTTTCTTCTGTTTTTGGCTTCCCACCCCCAAAGCTCCAGACCTCTCTTGCGTTTTTTCTTTTTAGTCTTTTTTCTTTTTGACCACTTAGCCGCCTTCCTTTCCTTATCCTCTGTTTTCGGCTCCTCCCCTCTTCTTTTTAGCCGACCTGCCCCTTTTTAATGCCTCCCCCAAAAACTAACCCTAAAATGAAAGGTCAAGATCTCATCCTCAAAATAGGTTCATGTGTCTTGTTTTTGTCCTTTGATTGATTTTTGACTTTTCCTTTTCCTTCCTTTTTTTTTTCTTATGCTAAAATGTCTAAAAATGATATTAGTAAAACCAAACTAAAATAAATATCAATAAAACTAATAATGAAAAATAAAGTCAAAAATTTGGTGTCTACAATACATAATCATCCTGGTGATCATGATCATGAACTAAAAACTATAGGAAGATGGAGAGCTAAATTATATGTTTAAGTTAATCCCATCAACAAACAAAATGCCGAAGTTCTTATAATAAATGAAAAAATGATCATTGTTGCAGGTTTACATTATAGATTAGATGTTTAACTTACTAATATAATAGAAATAAATTATTATAATTATAAAATGTTAGAAACTGCTTGTTGTATTTTTTTTCATATATCTTTAATTATTTTGTGATGTATTAACCATTTATATTGATATGTGTAATAGTTACAATGACGAGCAAGGATATTGGTTGGGAACATGGTAAACCCGTGGGAGGGAATAGAAAAATTGTGAGATGCAATTATTGTGGAAAAATAATGCATGGTGGCATTACAAGGTTAAAAGAACATGTCGATCATGTCATAGGACAAGTTGAGCCTTGTCCAAGGGCCTCAAGTGAAGTTAGAGATTTAATGAAAATGCATCTAAAGATTGGTAAGATTCAAAGAGCTACAATAAAACAGAAAAAAGAAGAAATATTGAATTCTTTCCAACAAGAAAGTATGCATGGTAATTTCAACATGGTTGGCGACGAGGAGGACGAAGTCTTTTTTGAAATTGATGAAGAAAGTCGGATGGCGTTGGAAAAAAAACAAATGAAGCAAGCAATTAGAGAGAGCCAATACTTGCAATTTTTAGACGAACAACGAAGGCATTCGGTATCTGGGAGTCGACCTTCTATGTTTATGTTAGGTATGATTTGTAAACTAAAATATTATAACAAATTTGATACTATTTTATTAAATATAATTACATAAAGTTGCAATTTAGTCATTCATTTTTTATTTGTTAAATATTGTGAATTTTAGGGAATATGGGTGTTGGCACTTCAAACCCAACGACTTCTGAAAATAAAAGAGGATTGTTACGTAATTTCAGTGTCAGACAAGCAGATGAAATGACAAGCAGAGGAATTGACTCACATATGTTTCCTTCGAAACAAAAATCAGTCAAATCAATGTTTGCGAAGGAAAATATAAAAAGAGTTGGTAAGGCAGTTTCAAAGTTTTTTCATTTCAATGCAATACCATTTCATGCAGCTGACAATCCTTATTATCAATCGATGATTGATGAAATTGCCAAAGCTGGTTCTGGTATTAAAGGCCCTTCAGCTTATCAAATTGGAAATGAATATTTAGATGAAGAATTTGAAGAGCTTGAGAAATATCTTGGAGATATTTATGATAAATTTTCAACTTTTGGTTGTACACTTATGTGTGATGGGTGGAGCACTCGTACAAAACATCCAATAATAAATTTTATGGTATACTGTGATAGGCACATGATATACCATAGTTCAGTTGATTGTACCAATATTAAGAAAACTGCTGAATATATTTTCAAGTTAATGGATGAGGTAGTAGAGGTTGTGGGGGACAAAAATGTTGTGCAAGTTGTGACAGATAGTGAATCTAGTATGAAAGCTGCTGGACAACTGTTGATGAAAAAAAGAAAAAATCTTTTCTGGTCACCTTGCACTGCGCATTGTATAGATTTGATGTTGGAGGATATTGGCAAAATGGATAATGTAAAAGAAACTATTGCTCAGGGGAAGAAGATAACAAGTTTCATATATAACAGTGACAAAGTAGTGAATCTGATGAAGACATATACAAAAAAAAGGGAACTGCTACGTCCAGGTATCACTAGATTTGCAACTGAATTCATTTCTATGGAAAGTCTTCTTCGGCATTGTACATAACTGAAAAGAATGTGCACCTCAGATGAATGGGCAGAGTTTAATAACACTACCAAGAGAAAAGCAGAAGCTATTAAAGTAGCTGAGTTGATATTGTCAGAGAAGTTTTGGAAAAAAGTTAGAAATGTGTGTGCAATAATGGAGCCTCTGGTCAAAGTTTTAAAAACTATTGATCAAGATAATAAGCCAACATTGCCAATTATTTATGAGGCAATGGATAGAGCAAAAATGGCTATTCAAAAGTCGGTGAAATCTTGGAAAACAATTTGGGAAGTGATTGATAATAGATGGTACAATCAACTTCATCGGGATTTACATGCGGCAGGTAATTTAAAATATTACATCCAATTTAAATATGTAATATTTATTTATTTATTTATTTATTTTCTAATTTTGTTATTTTATTGTATTTAGCATATTTTTTGAACCCGATCCTTCAATATTCTGGAACTTGTGAGTTTAATCTGGATGGAGTTCGAAGAGGGTTAAAGAACGTCATTGCAAAGTTGGAGCCAAATTTAGATGCACAAGTTGATTCAATAAATGAGGTATTCTTTTGATTATTTTATTTATTTATATTAATCAACAAATTTTAAAATTTTAACACTTGTGTATACATTATTTTTGTAGATCAAAATTTTTGCAGACAAAAAGGGAGGCTTTGGAAGTGCTATTGCAGCAAGAGCATTACCAAAATCTTTACCAGGTTTCAACTTAATTCATACTTACATAAACATCCAAATCATATAAATGAAGTTAATATTTTTATAATATTAAAATAATAATAATAAATGAATGTTATTATTACTTTGTTTGTTTAGCTGAATGGTGGCTTAACTACGGTGAAGATGCGCCAAATTTAAGGAATATTGCAGTGAAAATATTGAGTCAAACCTGCACATCCTCTGGTTGTGAGCGAAATTGGAGTACATGGTCATTAATTCATACAAAACTACGCAACCGTTTGGCAGTTAAAAAATTGCATAAATTAGTTTTTGTGCATTACAATATGCGATTGAAGGTGAAAAATTTGATGCATCAAAGAGATACTGATGATTTCTACAATCCAATTGACTTGAATCACATTTTTCACCAAGATGATATATTGGATGATTGGATAAGAGAAAATGAACAACCCACATTGCCTGAAGATAATCTGGATTGGTTGGATAAGGGCATTCATCAAACTGAATCAGAAAGTAGTGAATATCAAGAACATGACAACGATGGTTTTGGTGATACATTGTCCCAATATATTACCAAAAGAAATAAGAAAGGTCTTGCTGCATCCTCAAGTAGGAAACAAAAAAGTAAGACTAAACAAACCAGTAAGCAGATTGTTCCGTCATCTTCAAATAAAAGTGACAGCAGTAATGATGATGATGACAATGGTGACAATGGAGATGGAGGGAACAATTCTTCCAGGCATAGTGGTTACAATCGAGATAGCCAACAAGCAGGAGGTATGTCATGGGCTCAAGGACAAGATAATTATTATGCCACTCAAGATACTGATCATGGCTATTGTCCTGGTATAGAAGCACAACGTCAATTCCTCAATGATTTAACTCAATTTTCAAGTAAGGATACTTTCTCTCACCATTCAGGGTCACAAAGATATAGAGGAGTCAATGATCAGATGCAAAATTTGGGTATATACTCAACTTATGAGCATGAATCTAATCAAAACCGTAGTACTAGTCAATTGGGATATGGCTATGACCAATCATATGGAATCACTCCTGACTATTACAGTGGATATCGGCCATTTGACAGACCTGGACATGTTGAAAGGTCTACTAGCATTCATGGTAGTGGATACTATGAAAAAGAATTAGATAAGTCTCATGATGGTTCTTCTTTTGATTCCAATAACATTGAATTTTATGGTCATGATTCTACTGCATCATATGGTACCAGCGATAGTGTTAACTATCGAGGGTTTGGATACTACCATCAACAAATCATCTCCAATCCAGAAATTCTTCCGTCCAATGATTATGGAACATCTAGTCAATCATCACATCCAGTAAATACACCAGATAACTCGTTTACACTACCTACTCAAGGTCCTATGCCACTTCCACATCTGTTTTACCATTCATCGACCAATCAGGATGATTTTGAACCACATCGTCATTCTACTTGGTATTAACATGTACGAAAATATAAAGTACTAGTATATCTTTTTACATATTTACCTTTTATCTAATATGATTTCTTTTTATTTTTGGCAGGAGATTGATCAAAATATTCCAACTTTATGCTATAAATAAATCTTTAGTTTGTATTGTTAATGGTTGATATTACTTTTGCAATTATTAGTTTTAAAATTGTGGTCTATATTATTTTGATTTTATTTGTGATGCCATTGTTTTAAATAATTAAAAGTACTTATCGTGTGTAATATGTATAAAAATAGTACATTTTACAAATTTTCTTTTGTTATTTGTTATTATTTTTGTTTAGCATACTTTTTTTATATTATTAACAGTTTTTAGAATATTAAATGCTTTAAAATTTGCGTCTCACTGAGACCGTGACCGATATGCCGAGACCGATGTGGACCGTTCCGGGCCGCGACCGCGACTTTGAACCATGTTTACGGGTGTTTTTGGGATTTCACCGGTTAAGCCGGCTTCCATCATCCCCTTCTTACAGGGGTCTAAGTGGTTGCCCAGTAACCAACCCAGTATTGGGAAGGCGGGGAGTTTGGTAGATAAAGGGGGAACTGCTGCTACGGCGGATAAGTCTAGTAATACCGGGAAGCAAGGGCCTGTTGTGGAGAAGAGTACTGTTGCTGCAGTGGCTGCTGCTTCACCAGAGGCTATGTCCGAGGATTTAAAGCTTTCTAGAAGCAGCTGGTTGTTGAAACTGTTAAATGTCTGTTCCGATAATGCTAAGGCTGCTTTTACTGCTTTGAGCGTTAGCATTCTGTTCAGATCATCTTTAGCTGAGCCAAGATCAATTCCCTCGACTTCTATGTACCCCACTCTTGATGTAGGTGACCGCATTCTTGCTGAGAAGGTATATTTTGGATGACTTTTGCTACTTATTTCCCTAATTCAGTTTTCAGGGGATATTTTTTTTTTAAAATATGTTGGGTTGCTTTATTTATGTCTGTATTGAAGTCCACTGGATTATTTATGTGATGACTTTTGCCTTTTTTTTCCACGGCTTCTCTGCTTAGCTCACTGTTTCCCAAGCTCACGCCATTCACTTCTCTCTCTTCATCTTCCCTTCTCTTCACGCCATTCATCTTCCTCTCTTCACTTCTCTCTCTCTTCATTTTAAATCATCATCAAAGTCTTCATCTTCCCTTCTTCTCTCTCTTCTTGGCTGAATCTTGAGGCTGCAAAAGAGAGGAAGAAAAAAACTCCTTCTCCAACTACAAAATCTTGCTCCAAAATCTCCAAAATCTTCACTCACCTTTGGAAGTTTTCAACTTTGAAGAAAGGCCTTATCTTGTGGTGGTTTTTGATGGATTTGGTGGTGCAAAACTTATACTTAGCTGGGGTTGAAAATTTTATATAACATATAATATTTATGTAAATATATTATAAATATATAAAAATATATTTTAAATAAAATAAAATATTTATGATATGTATATGTAAATATATAATATTAGAAATGTATAATATATATAATATACATTAATATTAATATAATTTATATATAATATACATAATTGAAATATACATATTAATATATATTATAAAACAAAATTGCATAAATATATTTATAAATTTATATATAAATAAATGTATTTATATTAATATATAATATTTATTTCAATTGACATAATATATATAATATTATACATAATTGAAATAAATATATTTATATTAATATAATATATATATATATAATATACATAATTGAATATACATATTAAAATACATAATTGAAATATACATATTAAAATATATAATTAAAAAATATTAAAATATAATTGAAATATACATATAAAATACATAATTAAATATACAAATTGAAATATACTTATTAAAATATACAAATTAAATATGCATAATTGAAATATATTTGGAATTGTTTTTGATATATTGTTTGGATTGGTGTTTTTGAAGTTGTTTTTAAAATACAATTTACTGTAGCATTTGGAATGTGAAAAACAGTTTTTCAAAAACAGGCTCAAAAACACCAATCCAAACGTACCCCTAGTTATTTTAGTTATAAAACTAAATAATGAAACCAGAATTAACTACTAAAATGCACTTAAAAATACGTAAAATAAACCCTTATCACTCCCTATCTAGAATTTTGTTTCATTTTATTTTTCTATTAAAATCTCTTCTAAATTTTTTTATTGAGAGTTTTCTATTTCTCTTAGGGGTTGCTAGTCAGAATTTTCTATTCTTCTAGGGATTCGTATGTAAATTTTATATTTTTTTTGTTGTTAGAACTAAATTTATTTCAAATCTGATTATTATATCTAAATTTTTTTTTGTATCTTGGATTTATTTAGACAGATTTCATCATAATTATTGGAGCTTCAAACTATTAATTAGTATATATGGTGATTGCAACATGCACAGAAAGGAGCTGCAGTTTATCTTATTAGAAGATAATTTTAAAATTTCTTATATTTTTCAATTGTTCATAATTTTTCAGATCTATTATATATATTAAATTGCATATCTATAATTTTCAGTGCATGTTTGACTTGGTATTAGGACAGTATTATACATCAAATCATACTAAATGATTTCTAACAATTTGTTAATGAAATAAATTTTTTATCCAAAAAAAAAAAAAACACAAGGACAATCCTGGGAAGTCATAGAACATTTATGTAGTACCAATTTAACACTGTAAGGCATAGATAAACATGAATTTAAGGCAAAAATGACATTCATTTGAGAACCTCCATTACCTCCTTTGACCCTCAAACGCCTCAAAATTTTAGACTAGGAAATCATCTTTAAGTTGTACATTGACTAGATTCGTGTCTAAATTGGACTAGACTCCTCTATATTGAATCGGAGAAAAGTTGTCTCCATTACATCACCATAAATTTAATTCAAACATTATTTTCAAAAATTAATATCGTTCATGATATATTTCATAACCTGTATTAGTTATACTTAAAATTTTGTATGAAATTAACAAAGTTTTGTCATTTGATTAGTCATTACTAATTTTCTTCCAATTTTAGCCCATTTTCAACATTCAAAATGTTTCATGCAAATTGAATGCCAAAATATTCCCAAAAGAATATCATTTTTTAATATATTGATCTAGAGATCCAAAGAAAAGTAATGACATAATCAAATGATTTTATAAGATTACGGTAACTTAGATATAAATAAATAAAGGGATCAATATCAAGAGATTCGACGGAAAGGGTCCTAACCCGTCTAAATTGGCCAAACAACAAACCAAAATCACATACAAAATCAAATTCCTATATTTTTTTTAATCTGGGTTTTTTCCTTTCTTCTTTGGGATATAGTGATGGCAAACAGAAATGAAGATGGTGGTCACGGAAAAGATTGCTAAGGAAGTCAAGGAGGCAGCAGTTGTTATGGAATTTTTTTTTTTAAAAAAAATTAAGTTGCGGTGGAAATCACCTGTTGTGAGTTACAGGATTGAGGGGATCGATGAAGATGATCAGGTTAAAGGAAAGAAATTTTCAAAATTGTAATTCTACCCTTCAACTTACTTTTTTCTTTAATAAAGAATATAAGTTTTTTTGAAATTATAATTAAGCCCCTTAATTAACCTTTTTTTTTTTTTACCTAAAAGTAAAGGTAGTATGGGAATTTCAAACTTTTCTCTATATCAATATAGATGGTTTTCATCCACCTTACCTATCAGTTTAAACCAATAAAGTCTTTTGGATATTTTTGAATGAGAAGGGGGTTCAATAACGTGCAAATCAGAGGAAATTTTTGTGCATTTTTCTCAAAAAGAATAAATTCCATATTGTCTATATATATATATATATAAAAAAGAAAAGATTGATCCATATTGAATGCGCGCGGATCCATATTGAGGCTGTGGAATTGATGCAATGACTCATAGGTGTACCAGTTGCAAAATTATCTTTCTTGCGGGGGGAGGGGAGGGAGAAAGAAGGGGATTAAGGAGGAGGAAGGAGGGAAGGGGAAGGAATGGTGGTGGTGGTGAAGAAAGGGAAGTGGTGGTGGCAGCGTGTGGTAGTGATCGGTAGTGAATGGAGGAAGAAAGGGCCGGTAGTTTTTTTTTTTTTTGTTAGCTATATTTGAGATGTGTACTTTTAGTGATTTTGGGAGTATTTTTGGAGTTTGTTATTATAGATTCCAAATATAAAAACTAGTTTTCCAAAAAAACTCATTTTAAAAACATAGGCCAAGATGCGATATTACATTAGAAAATCAAGATGTAATTTTCCAGGGGTAAAATTGTAATTATAATATGTTAAAGAAGAATCAGTTCCTCGAGCACGCTTCATTGTATCCATATATATGTATTATTTGCTTCTTGTCTTGTGAAAACCTTCAAAAGAGGACTTGCAAGGGAAATAATACCTACCAACTGATGGATTCCAAAGCACTTGTTTCTTGTGTTCTCCTCCTTCATCTGTTGATTGTCCTGGTAAGTTACTTTGACAATAAATTGTTTTTTGTGATTTATATGCTGTGGACTTAATTCTCGCTGTCTTACAACACTATACAACCTGTACAGGGAGCCTGTGATATCATACCCAAGGCCAAGGATAGTGGTACTAATGCAATCAGGCTCCAGGGCATGGATGCTAATAATCCTCATCGAAATGATAAGACACATCATGTTGCTCACGTCCATGAAAAGAAGTCAATGCACGATCCTTCTCTTTCCTCATCCCACATGATGCATCAGATGGATCCAAGAGCAACCGTGTTTTTCGTTTTAGATGATCTCAAGTTAGGCAAAACATTGAGTATCCTTTTCCCTGACGGAGATCCTAGTCCTTTGTCCTCTCCTTATCTCTGGCCTAGAGAACAAGCCGATGCTATCCCCTTTTCATTGGCAAAACTCCCACAGATTCTTCAACACTTTTCATTTCCTCAAGGATCTCACCAGGCCCAAGTGATGGAACATACACTCCGAGCTTGCGAGACTAAGCCTATGAAGGGAGAATCCAGGGCTTGTGCCACATCCTACGAGTCATTGGTAGATTTTGCACGAAAGATCTTGGGATTGAATACCGATATTGAAGTTTTATCAACGCATCGCCTCGCAAAATCTAATGCTGCTAGATTACAGAACTATACGATCACAGAAGCTCCTAAACGAATTTCAACTCTAAAGATGGTTGGCTGTCACAACATGCCATATCCTTTCATAGTTTTCGGTTGCCACTATCAGCCGGGTGATAATAATTTATACAGGACTGTTCTATCTGGAGAGAATGGTGATAGGGTTGAAGCTACTGCAAGATGTCACATGGATACCTCCCAATGGAGCCATGATCACGTTTCCTTCCGGGTGCTTGGTATCGAACCGGGCACTGCACCTGTTTGCCATTTCTTCCCGGCAGAGGACTTTGTATTGGTTCCATCTACTTCTTCAATCTAGTAATATCCAAGAGCTCAAGTGCTTTCAGCATTTTAGTTGTTTAGCTTAAGTCGCCTTGTCTGAATGTGTAATACTAGAAATCAATAAATTCGTGTGCCTCATGTTTGATTATCTGTATTCGAATAAAACTCCGTGGAGTAGTAGCGCTACTTTTGACAATCAAAGTTTTATATACTTCATTTTACACGTATGTTACAAGATTTCATCATATAATATACTCTTCTTCAAGATTGCAACTTTGACATCTTTCAGATCTTTCAGCCAAAGCTTTTAAGTTTCCTGCAAATTCAGATGGTCTTGATTTCTTCTGATCATCAGAAACTCGAGGAGGTACTGTGTGAAGTGAATAGTTCCAAGAAAACACCACTCCTGTTGTATGATTCAAGGACAAAAGAACCGCATCCATCCATCTAGAAAAGCTGCAGAAACCTTCCGTCCTTGCCGTTGAGAAAATTTTATAGATAACTCTTCGATTTCAA